TGAGAGAGGCATGAGCAAAATAATAATCGATGAAGTTCCCGATGGATGGAAACTTAGCAGGATGAGCATGATCTATAAAGGAAAGAGGGACAAAGCTGATATAAACAACTACCGTCCTATAGCAGTGACATCAGTCGTCTACAGGCTGGCGATGCAGACTATAAGGGGAAAACTGCAGGCATGAATAGAGGATGAGAGGGTGCTGGGGGAACTGCAGAATGGGTTTCGGAAACACAGGAGGTCGGAAGACAATCTGTGCTCAATGACGCAGTGCATTGACATAGCAGAAAAAGAACACCGGCCCCTGTGACTAGCATTTTTGGATATCAATGGAGCGTACGATAGTGTGGTTCAAGAGGAATTGTGGGGAATACTGGACACACTAGGCGTGGAAGATGTAGTCACTAAACTTTTAAAGGATATCTCTAAAGGTAACAAGGTAGTTATAAAGTGAGAAAAACAGGTATCCAAGCCTGCAGAGGTAAAACGGGGGCTTAGGCAGGGGTGTCCCTTGTCACCCTTATTATTCATGATGTACCTACAAGGATTAGAGGCCAAATTAGAGGGAAGTAGACTGGGCTTCAACCTCTCTTTCATCAAACAAGGAAAACTCATTGAATAGGCACTACCAGCATTGATGTACGCGGATGATATAGTGCTAATGGCCGACAACAAGGATGATTTGCAGAGATTGGTGGAATTCTGCGGTAATGAGGGAGATGGGTTAGACTTCCGATTCAGTAAGAAAAAATCAGCAGTCATGATTTTTAATGACAATGAAGGTAGTGAGCTTAGAATACAAGAGGTCACGCTAGAGATAACAGATAAACACAAATATCTGGGCGTATGGATAAGCAATGGGGCCGAGTACCTAAGGGAACGCAAAATATACGTGTCGTGTCGACTAAAGGTAACAGGAATGCAGCGGTAATGAAAGCAGGGCACTGTGGAATTACAATAGGTATGATGTTGTGAGAGGAATATGGAAAGGGGTCATGGTTCCTGGTCTGACGTTCGGCAATGCGGTCTTGTGCATGAGATCAGAAGTTCAAGCAAGATTAGAAATTAAGCAACGTGGAATAGGTAGGCTTGCCCTAGGAGCTCAAGGGAATACACCAAATCAGGGAGTACAAGGCGATATGGGATGGACATCTTTTGAGGGCAGGGAAGCTAGCAGCAAGATAAAATTTGAGAAGCGATCGAGATAAATGGGGGAGGAGCGTTGGGCTAGGAAGGTATTCAGCTACTTGTACAGGAAGAATGTCAATACAAAATGGAAGAAGCGAACCAGAAAATTGACTGGTAAATACTTAAAAAACAGAAGGGCGCCAAACCAAAAAGAATTATCGGTTAAGAAAAAAAGAGAAGGAACCTGAGACCGATGCGTGGAGAATTGGCATAATCAAGAAGTCCTAACTAGAGGTCTATCGAACCTTTAAGCAGGAAATTGCCAAGGAAAGGCTCTATGATAATACTCCGGGTAATCAAGAAGTCCGAACTAAAGATCTATCGAACCTTTAAGCAGGAAATTGCCAAGAAAAGGCTCTATGATAATACTCCGGGTAGTTCTCTACTGTTTGAGGCCAGAACGGGAGTATTGCGCACCAAGACATATCGGGCCAAATACGAAGGGGTAGACACGGTATGTAGTGCGTGTGGAGAAGAAGAAACTGCGGAACACTTGATAATGTTCTGTAAAGTGCTTCACCCTATAGTTCAGGATGATGGTGCAGAGTTTTTCAAAGCACTGGGGTTTAGGGACAGTGAGGGCAAAATAGACTTTAAGCGGGGTAGAATTACCTAGAAGGAGGTTATCTGATTGATGGCGAAAGTCAAGGCACGAGTGAAAATTAAATCCTTCACTGCAAAGTACGAATCCTCAACCTCCCTACTTAAGGGGAAAAAATAAATCTCGTTTTTGGTTCGTTAAGTATTACGGCTTGGTGGCGCTAGCCACCGCCCGATCTAGAGGGTACAGCCATATACATCCATCCATCCATCTATCGAATATATGATGAAAAGAAGCGAGATGGTGGTACTTGGAGTGTTGAATAGATGGACGAACGGACACACAGACAGATGTATGGATGGACGCATGAACGGACACAGGGGCGAATGCATGTACGAACGCAGGGACGGACGCACGAACAGACGCACGCACGGACGGGTGGACGGATGCACGGACGGTCACACAGATGGACGCATGGACGTACGGAAGCAAGAACGAATGGACGGACGAATGCTTCGCCCCACTCTCCATCATTCAATCCATAGATATGCTGCCATTTTTTTACCTTGGTTTCTGGCGGAAAAATACCCGGCAGTACATCCTGGAGCAAAGCAGTGTCTCTGTCTCTTTTCAATCACCATAGCTGTAGCGAGCACGGCCACGTTGGAAAAAGAAATCACTGAAGGCAGTGGCCGCACGGCAGCTCTTCACCACGAGCATGAAGGCATCTCCGTGGCGACAAGTGGCCACCTAACAGCGTCATGGAACACTGGCGCATCTCCTCTCGCAGCGCAGGCTGCCCGGTGCCGACACCTCCCCATCTAGCCACCATAGTGCAAGGAAGTCGTGTCGGGCTAGTTCACTTTAGTCCTGTGGTCGGGCTTTGCCTTCCTCAAAAATGCACTTTACATGACACTATATCATGATTATCATGTATAGACATATCATTTACCTTCGTTGTCTATCCACATTAGGTGATATCAAATTTGGTATATGTGGAGCAAGTGAAACGGCCGCAACCGCATCATTAGCATGGTATCATGTTAGTTCTTACAAGGCACGTGTCATGGTTATCATGCTTGCACCAGTCATATACCTTCGTCATTCATAAACGTCACGTAACACCAAAATTGATGTATGTGAAGCTAGCGAAATTGCCGCGAGCACATCATAAAGGGCCCAATATGCCCCGACCTAACGTTGACGAGCGCGCACGCTGGGCGCAGCGACGCTGCGCTAGCAAAACGGATGCCAGACTCGACCAGTGCAACCAGCGCCCGTCGGCGCGGCCCCACGACAACCAGCGCTAAATGCAACATGCTGCATTTCGCGCCCATGACGTTACACAGACAACACTGCATCTGCCTGTCTTCGTGATGGAGGGACGCCGGGTGCGCTCAAACACGCATGCATCAAAGCAACGCAGGCGCAGATCCGCGCCTGGCGTTGCATCGCCAGCGTGACACGGCGAAACGAACGTCGGCGCGCACGCGCACCGGGTGACGTCGAAGTGTATTGGCGCCTTGAGTGTCGCATGTAGTCATGTTGTTACATGACACGCATGTTACGATTATCATTTTGGGACGTGTCCTTTACCTAGTCGTCCGTCCGCGTTATGTAATACCAAATTTGGTACATGTGACGCTAGTGATACGGCCGCGAGCGCATCATAAGCGTGGCATGTAGTCATGTCGTTACAAGACACGCACCTGCACTGATGATTATGTTTGCACCAGTCACATATACCTTCATCATTCATTCACATCCCGCAACACCAAATTTGTTAGATACGAAACGGCCACGAGCATACCATGAGCGTGGTGTGTAGTCATGAGTAGTGATAACATAAAAATGATAACATGCATGTCACGATTTCTGCGTTTGGGTCTGTCACTTATGTTCACAATGCAGTCACGTCCTACATGCCAGTTTTGCAACATGTCATGTGAACGAAACCACCGCAAGACCATAAAATGTAAATCATGACATGAATTTCATGATTTTCATGTTATGACTAGTCATTTATGCTCGTCATGCAGTCATGTCATGGCATACCAAGTTTGGTATCGATACCATTATCGAAACGGCCAGGAGAACTAAATGTCGTAAGGAGATAGATAGATAGATAGATAGATAGATAGATAGATAGATAGAGATAGATAGATAGATAGATAGATAGATAGATAGATAGATAGATAGATAGATAGATAGATAGATAGATAGATAGATAGTAGATAGATAGATAGAGGTAGGTAGGTAGGTAGGTAGGTAGGTAGGTAGGTAGGTAGGTAGGTAGGTAGGTAGGTAGGTAGGTAGGTAGGTAGGTAGATAGATAGATAGATAGATAGATAGATAGATAGATAGATAGATAGATAGATAGATAGATACGCTGAAAGTCGCCGAGGTTCGCTAAGAAATGCTTCGCATTTAATAGCGCTATTAGGCACACAAGCCGTGTATATTCTAGCATGATGGGCACCCATTAGATCGTCCCTTTGGAAGACCTCAAGTGACCAAGAAAAACCATCCAGGCAGCATTACCCAGAGCGGCCGAAGAAGCAGTACCAAATGACATGCTAGTATAGCTCAATAAGAATACACACTAGCAGCTGTCAAGTGTTACAATAGAGGTCGTAGGTTACATGAACTGCAGTTCTGACAGCATAGTAAGGAACTTCTCGAGAGAATAAAATTCGAGGTGCCCATAAACTTTAATTTACCTGGTAACAGCACATCAGTGTTCGTTTGCTCTAGTGTTTTCCTAGGTTTAACTTCGCATTCCTTCATGCTGCTGAAGCGCATCTCAGAGGCCGCATAAAAAAAAAACGTGGTTGAGACCTGCTCCACCAGGTACCACAACGTTCCCAGCTGCTTACAAAGCAACCGTCTGCTCTTTAAATGAACTCATTTATTTATTTCCATAATTATCCTGACAGTTCATTACAGCTTAACTTATGCTCCAGTATCACATATATCGAACATAACTTTTAGCTTGAACCAGGTCCACCCCTTTTGCACCAGTTTTATCCTTGTGGAAGGATTTTTTTGGGGGGGGGGGAATATGTGGAAAACTGCAAGAGCTTGATAGAGAGTGCTTGGTGGGGAAGCACCTTGTGTCACTTGCAGTAGTGCATCACTCTGCGTGCAAGTGATTTCGACCAAACAGACGAGACGAGTAACTTCGAAACAACACGTTTATTGGATGTGGTACATCTTGTATTGCTCATTAAGGAGAGGGAAAACAAGTGCAAGAACAGACAACAGTGTATGGAATATATACATAAATATCGGTTACAAATCCCCGTCTTAAACACGACCCCAGCCATGCTAACAATGGGACATGGGAGCAATGACAGCAGCGTGCATTCCAAAGGCGACCAGCACTGGCAATGCACACCACCCAAGAGGTGCTAGGTGTAATGAAGGCGCGGATCGCAGTGCTTCGCATGCTCACAAAGTCAAGAAGCTGTGCTTGGCAAGTGAGAAAGGGGTGACTTCTTTATCACTTACATTTTAATCGACAGGCACTAAGCGAACAGAACTCACCCTTTCCTTCTCTTGCAACTTTATCTACTTTAACAAAACACATAAAAGACATCCTTTTATCACACTTATCTCAGACTCTGCCTTCCTCAAAGTTAAACACGTGTGACCTTTGGAAGCGCGGCAAGAAAAGCAATCAGACACAAGTCTGTGCAACAAATACTCGCGAAATTTAAAGTCACTGCCAAGCTTCTCATGCGGCTTCGTGTGGCAGCTTTCATAAAAATCCCAGACGACACTGAAAAAGTACTCATGCTTCTTTTCCCCTAATTTAAGGATAAAATTTTTCTGTCAGACATTTATTTTTTCCATGCCCCCATATCTGTAAAAGCTTTAGAATTTGTTCAAACCCACTCGCTTCTGAATCAGTACACTGCTTTTAGAGCGAGAGCAGCCATTTCAAAGTTTAGGTGGATGAAGCATTATTTCAACGCAATCAAATACACGTGGTTTTTTCAGGGTGTGCCTCAACTTCGTCTGTGAGAACTGCTAGCATTGCTCTCGCAAGGCAGGTTCTCAGGTGGGGACGAACCCGGGGTAATCTGAAACCACCGCAGGCTTTGAATACTCTGACACTTCTATAATTGTTCTTAGCAAGCAGCTTGTCATGAACCGCCTGAGCCAACAGTGCAGTCTTTTCGCAACGCCAGCGGACAAGGCCGGTCACACTCCCTGCTCCAGCGAAGTGGATCGAGTGTTGCTCTTTCTAGCAGCCATGTTTGGTATTGCTGGAGACATCCAAGCGATCATCGTGCACCTTTCTTGAGGTCGTCACGCACTTTCCACAGCATCAGCTCCATGCAGGCGGCTGCATCTTCTTGGCTGTCGTGACCATCCACTGCGCACAATGAAAGGCATTGCGTCACCACTTGGCAGAGCAAATTCAGCCACCTCCTTGGCGATGCTAAGCGCATGGTATGAGGGTAGCTATACAAATATACCACAATCAGTCACAATTTAAGAATAAATAGCTGCTTCACACACGGCGCACCCGCCCTTCACCTGTGAGGCAATCATGCTATTGGGCATTCACTCGAACCATAAGCATACTGCGGCTAATCCACAATGCTGATAAGCAGAACCTATCAGCCACCGCGGGTCTGACAAGTCGGTCCAACACGCCAATCTCTAGATGGACTGGCATGTTGGACCACTTCAGAAAAACTGGCAGGGGGACCTCTTATGACGACATGTGTGGGGCAATTACAAAAAAATACAGCAAAAACAATTACAAACTATTACACTATTACAAAACATGATAACTCTACTGATAAAATTAATCATTAAAATAAATTGCTATTGATTAAAACCAATAAATTGTTATTGATTAAAATAATCAATAGCAGGGGATAAACTAGAATAAAGAAAGATTGATTGATCGAACAAAGAAAGATTAAAGCACTGTACATGACAAATGCAATTAGTGTCACATGATGATGCCACTACATGACATCATCATGACATCTCAGATCACCAAATTTTCTAGCATGATCATGACGTAACTGTGACGTAGAGTAACGTGATGACGTCATCACATGGAATCGTAGCTTGGTCAAGAGTAGTCGGATCCCAGAGGCAATGCAGCATCAGGTGTGGTGCCTCTGATCTTGGAAGCAGAGCTAAACCATGTTGAATGCAGACAGCTTTCATAGGATGGCATGGCAGGATCAATAAATAAATTGACCAACTATAAAAAAAGAGGATGGCTTTTCCCTTTGATTCGTCTTAACTGACTGCACAAGGTACCCAGTGAGTTTGTTTTAACCAAGCACATCAGCCTCGAAAGCTGTCAATCACCTCCATTCTGGATGATCTTGCTGAGGTGTTCGGCCATGAGGGTACGCAGGGCTCGTTTGTAAGGGAGTCCCCGTCGGTGGGGGAACACGGCGGCCGTGTCGACGACAGTCTCGTGAATCAGCCGCAGGGCGCGCAAGTCCGAGTCGAGACTGTGGCCCAAGAGGATTGTGTCGGCCGAAAAACGGGCCAGCAGGGCAGCCTGGACATCCCTTAGGTTCGTCTTCACGCCCACCATGTCCTCTTCTGTCAGGCCACTGAACCTGTATTACACCCGGGCGACAAAACAGCATAAAGCAATGCAGTCAGCATAGTAGCTATCAAAGTGCGAGCACTCGAATAATATCACTGCAGCAACCATAATAAAAAAACAGAAGGCGAAGACAACTTTTGCGCATGTATAAAGAATACTTCACAACAATTAGCCATTTCCCCGCCAAAATTGCACATGTGCATCGGCAGACTTGAAAAACAGAAACTTACAAGTGACATGCTGTTCAATGAATAAACATAAATAATTTGCAACACCTCTCCAAGAACACTATTTTCTTGAAGCATTCGAAAACTCATGTAACAAAATAATAAACCAACTGGAACCTCTGAAAGGCTGGACGGTTGACTAGAAGAAATGATTGCGGGCTACAATAAAACTTGGTTAATTTGAACCCATAAAATTAAGTAAGTCACACTGTGCAAGGTCATCCTTTGATGTCACCAAGCATGTGCATAGCTTGTTGGCATTAAACGCTCCCAGTTTATTAAGCAGCAGATAATCAGAACATGCTGACCGTAAGACACGGCAAACACACAATGCATGAAAGCTAATACGGTGCTACCGTCGAATTAAAACAAAGCGGCAACATCCCTATCGCCTTAGTTTACAGAGGCAACTATACAGAGAAACAGGAACATCAGAGCATTTCCCCCGAAAACAGGAGCTGCAGAGTACAGCACAATGGCAGTGCTTGTGTCTTCACAACGGCACTTCCACCATACCCTACTGCATCCTTAGCAACTCTGAAGTGACTGCAGCAAACGACAGTCTTGTTTTGCCACAGTGGATGTATGTTTTTTGTGTTCTTCCAGAGCTGCACAAATGCCATCTATAAATCCATCAATAGTGACCAATGTTTCACCCAGAACAACTGCAGTAAACAGCTGTTTCATTCCTGCTTAACGTGAGCTGTTGCAAATGTGCAGTCATCATCCACGATCGCCAGCTTTGCCAGAAATGCAGCGAACAGCAGTTTGAGTTTCCTTTCAACTTGCTGCGAATCTCCTCTAAACTGTGACCAAGTTGACCGCAACCATCAGTTTCCCTGGAAAAAATTCATTTTAAGTCGGTGCCATGAGGGCACAATGTCATGAGCATGGTGGGAGCAGTTGAAAACAAAGAGCAGTCGTACTACCACTCGCATTTCGTTGGTATCAAATTCATCAGTAACATCACGATAGATGTCATAAACTGTTCAAGTCAATGCAGTGGTTAGAAAATAATTGTTGTTATAAGCAGATGATAGCCGTTTTAATAATAGAATTCATTTGGTAAATAAGTGCATGCGTACTAAGCACTTGATTGGTTTTTTAGATGACGTCAATAATTAAGCAATTCATAAGAAATATACATTTTTTAATCCTGTAAAAATTCACACTATCAAGGCTTCATTGTGTGCACATCACGCACAAAACAGGTCAGTTAGGTGGCCAGGGTCACCAATAGCGAGCTGTACAACACACTCACCGCGTGTTGTAGTCCAGTATCTGTCCCCGCGGCTTCACGAGCTTCTCGTAGACGGGCCTCAGGTCCCAGCCGACCACCGTGACTCGTGTGAGCTCCACTCCTTCGGACGTGTAGCACTGCACAGTATGAAAAAAAAAAAAGAAAGAAAAGGAATTTTTAAGGCGAAATCTCGTGTGCTGGCGCTTTGTTCCTTGAGGACTGTTAGATGACTGAATGCTTGTGAAACTAAAACCATTACAGTAGACGATCATGGATTTATCAAACTCAAAGGAATTGCAAATTGTTCGATATATCGATGCTTCATATAAGAAATATGTGTTTTTTTAAGCTTATATTAATGTATTACAATTCTTGAAACGGCTTTCAGAAATCGTAATAAGCAATAATGTGACGATTTGCTCGCAGTATGCTTTAAAAAAAAAGGTGACAACTTCTTTTGCAAGTTCCGGCACTTCTTCGCGTGACAAAGTTCGTAGACTTGTTTTTACTTGCACGCCGCCAAGTTCACCAAGTCGTTATCATTAATCGAGCATTAAAGCTTTAAAACTAACCTAGTTCAGCACCTTGGCCTACAAGCACGGTGATTAACGCTGAACACTTTTACAAGCTATGTAGCACAGTAAAATGTTGTTTAGCACAGAGCTGTAATGATTCGTAACAGCACGGGATCACTTCCACAGCACTGACAAGCCAGCCATGATATCAGAATCGATGCACTCAGAAAACAGCGACATCGTCATCTGCACCGATGAAGTCCCTTTCTGTACTGCCGTCTGATATAGCACCCGGGAATGCTAACAATTTGCAAAACTGACTAAGGCACTGTACATTGTTGTCAGCAGTGATGGCACACCCGAAGTCGTCACCTGACACTGAAGCCCGCAAAAAACTGTGCACGACGGCGCTTTGCTTGACGTTGTTCCAAGCACCAGCCATCAATGTTATCAGCTACGAGCAATTTCAATCTGTGGTTCGCCTCCAGAAAAAAGATTCAGCAAGACGAAGCGAGAACTACTGAAGTTGACAAGCCACAATTGACAACGCTGTCCACCTATCCACAAACAGATGTCGATGACACAAGGGGCGTTGTAGGTAGCGGAGAGCGAAAACCAAGAAAAAGTGCATCCTCAGAGAGGTGTACTTTATAACTAAAAAACGCCAAAAACACGTCATAAGGTTGTGTATCTTGAAGGCCATGCTTTTTGGGCCTGTGTATCATTGTGCACGAACAAGGAAGAAAGGGAATGTGAACACTGTGACAAGGCCACCGAGTAACTTTACCTTCACCTGATTTCAGTGCCTTTGGCAGAAAAACAGTGTCCACACTTTACAACTTATGACATATCATGCATCACGTGCTGATGCACTCACAAAAAGTGCTGCGCAACCACTGAAATACACCACCTTTGTGTCACTTGCAACCGAGGAGGGATCGAAACTTGTTAGAAACACGGCCGAAAATTGGTCAATCTTTGTCATAATAAATGCACTTTCTAGGCTTCGGCCTGGAGCAGTGTTCAATGTATCGGAGATTTCGCTCTGTGGGAGCTCAATATATGTGTGCAACCACGACTTTTCGAGCGCCTGCAGCCAACAAGGTGCCGCATTCGAGGGTAAACGCAAGAAAGCATGCAGCGCTCCGTCTTCCCTAATAGTGTATGGTTCGCGATGCTGACGATGGCAACGCGTGCTGTGCCACCTCGTTTTGGAGGGCCGCTAACGTCGTTTCGCCTGTTTTCAAGCGCGCATTTGCCGCCATTCCCCCTGGGTGCGCCACCAGAATCAACCTAATTAGATGAGTAGGCGGCAAAAATGACAGAAATGACGAGAGTTTGATGTAAATATACAATGTGCGTGGGGGCGCAGACTGGAGAACGTGCCCAAATTTTACACAATTTTTCGAATAATTTAGGGTCGAAAAACGAGTGTTCATTGGTTTTGAAGCTTTGCCGAATTGTTTATTTCTCGAAACAAGACTGTTAATGTCATGAGTTCACGTGTCATTTCATAGGTCGCTCATTACATGGCATTGTGTTACCTGTTAGTTAAACGTGAATGCGCTCTGGGAGAATTTTTTTTTCATGTAATCAAGAAATGACCTCTCTGATTCATTTGATTGCCTCGCAAATCTTGCCAAAATGTTTATCTATTACTATAGTAAGTTGCCTTGCAGTGTTGTAATTGTAGGCTCCGGTTGCCTTCTCTGTTCTCTCATTAGTTAACCACGGGATACTCAATATTATCTGCGATGGCTATCCTACCCTTTCTGAGGCGTAGAGCGGCCTTACAGATTTGGTGGAACGTATAAGTCGCATAACCTGGTTTACATAACCGTAGTGCCATCTTGCCATCTTCTTTTCAGAACATGTAAGCCATGTTCATTTAGTAATAAAAAATAAGCAGTGCCGAAATTGTATTTTTGAGCACAGACACAGCTTTATCGAAAAACAGCGTTTCCAGTATCCTCCAGCGCGTTTCAGCGCACTGGGTGACGCTGGAAACGCTGTACAGTGTGTCCAGTGTACTACAGCACGCTGAGGGGCACTGGAACACATGGTACAGCGTGGCCAGTGCCGCTCAGTGCGCTGAAGCGCACTGTACCCACTGTACAGCATAGCCCAGTGTCTTAAAGCGCGCTGGGAGGCACTGGAACACACTGTACAGCGTGGCCAGTGTCTTAAAGCGCACTGGGAGACACTGCTGACGCTGTAGAGTGGCTACTGCACACTGATATTCTTAGCGGCACATTGGCAGAAACTAGGCGCTGTCGGCGCACTTTCTGTAAGACTTCATATTGAATCGCGTCATGTCGAGCGTAAAATTTACCGAATATGATGGTATTCCCAGCTATTTGCTACACATAGCTTCAGTTTTCTCAGGCAATGAATGCGAGTACGATATAGCATTCATATGTTGATCGCGCGGGTCAGAGGCGCTGCCAGGATTTTGCTGAGGGGGGGGGGGGGGGGACACGACTACCTTTTTCCTGCATTGGGGCAGGAAGCCCCGAACTTATCATCGTCATCATCATTTATTTTTCATTAAGAGCCCCTGACGGGTATTCCATAAGGGGGGGGGGGGTCGAACAAGGATACACAAAGGCAATTCCAGACCGAGAACAAAAGTAGCCTAAAATTCAAGAATTGGAATTACAGGGCAATAATAAAAACAGAACTCGTTATACAACTAATAGCATGATAAAAAAATAAGAGAAAGGCAACTGTCTACACAGAAATTACGATGGTGTGGTTGTAAAATGAGTTTGTTGTAAGGTTTTAAACTTCACAGTATTTCGTTCGTTGGCTATTGCATTTGGAAGCCGATTCCAATCTGCGATTGTTAATGGGAGGAAAGATTTGTTAAAAGCGTTAGTTGAACCATTTTAATTTTAAACACTCAAAGAACTGAAGAGACGGCGTGAAGTTCGAATCGGTGGGAGAAGCAGGGAGCCATGTGAGTAAGAATAATTGAAATAGAGTTTGTGAAATAAACAGAGGCGTGCTTTTTTTGTCTGAGATCCAGAGAGGTGAGAGACAGTGATGATTTTATTGTAGTAAAATTGTGCGGAAATTGTATACGGAGGTTATAACAACTTATGCGTCGTGTTTTACCCATGCTTGCTTCTGAAGGTGAGGGGCAAATGAGGAGCATGCAAGAATATCAGGAAAAAATTGCCAGCCCACTAATGTATGACCCCCTTGGCGCGGGTGCGCTTTCCTTGAAGTTTGAGTTTCGTCAATGTATTTCATTACCGGCATTGATACAACTGAAAATTCGGAACACAAAATGACAGTAGTATCAGTCTGATAATCAAGACGAACATACTCTATCAGTGAGTTGTTGCGGCTCGTGCCGCAGAAAGCAGCATGTCACCCGGCAGCAGTTATCCTCTGCAATGCCCGATCTTGGTGTTTTTAGCTTCCTATTTGTGTAATCGAAGGTGAAATTATGACCATTCAGGGGTCAGTTATCATCAAAAATACATTGTAACGATTATTAGCCTCTTTTTAACTGAATATCTACGATCTTCACAGCAACCGTGACACAAGAGGTACGGCCCTAAGCCTAGTGGTCGTTTCGGCTAGAGTGAATGGCTGCAACTGTCATTCTCAGAACTAAACGAGGAGGACAGAAAAGATTCCAAACTATCGAGGAGCGAAATCTACAGTGCTCAGCGAGCAGTTCAGATGAACGTTTTTATACATAGGTAGGACTAACCGCATAGCGAGTCACTACAATGCCGTACACATCTGCAGCTACGCTAACAAGCTTTGCGGCAAAACGTGCCAGATGGATCTGATCTAAGGCGACCCGCAAAGAATGACCTAACAATCGCAAGTTTGGCGCGAGCGCGAAGAGACGAAACACTGCGTATGTAAATAAGTACAATATATTGAATACCTGAATTACTTTTGAAATAAATAAAAATAAACGCGTTCCCGAGGTTCAGGCGTGGAGTAGTGGGCAGCGTGCGTGGCACACAGTACGTGATGTGTTAAGACATAGGTTCGACTCCGGCTCACTATTTTTTCATTTTTTTCTTTTTTCACTGCGTGCGTATTTCAGCCGCAATTACGATGTGCGCATGACCACAAATTCTAAACACAACTTAAAAGCCAGATTTTTGCCGATAATGAATGTCCTAGGGGCAGCGCCAGCGTGCCGCGTGCAATGTGGCACTGTCCCAGTGTCAGCGCCACACTAGACACTGGCCAGTAATCAGGTATGGCGCTGGGCCAGTGCCATGCTTTGTGCAAAAGGGAATGGCCAGGCCCAGTAACACGGAATACTTCCAGGCCAGACAGCAGACAGCAGCAACTAATACTCCCTGCTTCACGTTTGTAGCCGATTAAATGGGTGCTGATAATAAACTACGGTACATGGTGTGACGTAACTGTTATCTGGGGGAGGTCGGCAGGTACAGGTATATAAGTTTGTATGCGGGGTTCACTGTCCCAAAGTGACTCGCGGGCAACAAGGGATGCTTTAGGGGATAGCGGATAATTCTTCAACGTGCAATGAAATCGCAAAGAACAGGAGCCTCTAACATTATGTTTGCATTAAAATGCGACAGCCACAGCCATGATAGTACCTGCGCCATTCAGGTCAGCAGCCG